AAGGGTATTCAACTTGTGGACTATTAAATGTGCCTCTGCTCATACTGCATAATGTAGAGTCTTGCTGTTTAGATAAATTTAGCGTAGGAGTGCGTCGATATTTTCGCATAGGCCCTATTCACATATTCACCATACGATTAACTAAGAAACACACGAACAGTCCTTACTACTAATAGAAAAATGAGCGAGGAGGCGTAATATGTTCTAGCGGACCCGCGTTTTACAATTGCTGCAATCGTTGCCACACAGTGTATGGAGCCGCAACAGAGAAATATATACTGCAATGTAGATTTCAGAGCCAAATGGTTAAAATTGTTAGTATGATTTATGAGAATAAATGGGCAAGCAGACAATTGTTTCCGATGACATCTCATTAGGCCTGCACACCTATATCGTAATTAACTAATTACTTCAATTCGTAACGGTGCCGCAGTGACCATGACTGAAAGTCACTTACCCAACAGCCCGCAACTAATCACCTTTCTCGGCTACCAGTCCCCCCCAAACGCTGGTCAGATTTTTTAGGCCCAATTATCCCCCACCTACCCTGACAACCTCATTATCTTTTTTACCAACCCGCATAGTTTAGTTAGTTAATCATGGTATAAATATACAGGCCTGACGAGAATTAATCGAAGAAACAACATGATTTACCCAACTGCAGGCTTAAGCTAACATTTATACTCCAGAAGTGTTTTATGCTTAATTGGGATTACTTAGGCATTCAACGAAATTGAGTCTTGACAAAAATTAAGAATACAGGAAAAGGGCTGCTGCCGTCATATGCACTACAATGAGGATAATTGTAACGATTGCCTTGTTCCATTTTACTTTCCATCCAATTTATTGATTTCTGTTCCACTGCTTAAGTATACAGTAAACAGAGTGTATGCTTGTTACGTCCCACGGAAAGATCAGTGTGTAAAACGCACTGTCCCCATTAGAATGTGCAGCACTCATAAGACTACCCCTTTTTAGGCTTAAGGTTTTATTTAAAATACAGATGCATACTTTAGACCATTAAAAACTGGTCCATTCATCCCCTTATCAGCAGAAACGCCAAAAGAATGCTGGAAAGTGGAATGCCAACAATTTTTTTTACTGCAAAATTATGCTGTCTATGCAATAAAGATCCGGTTATTCTAAGTTCACTGTGCGTCACTGAAAGTGTTTAATTTACTGACTATCACCTTGCATAAGCTATTCCTTCGAGAACTTGAACCCAGTGTTTATTCACTTGTCTCCTCAAGTGCGTGTTGAATCTCAAAAGCTAGCTTTTTTGCTGCAACGTGAAAGTGCCTGATATTTAAAACGTTCCACATAAAAAATACTTTTCAATCTTAAATGGAGGAAGTAGTTCGCATTCTTTTGAATCCACGAAACATGTAGGCGGGTGGCAACTTGTGTAACCCTCTAAAGCATAACTGAATCTTGGAATAAATTTACATAGATTTAATTTACATACACATAAATAGTAAGTGCTGTTGGCAATTTTGGTAGGCGTTGCCATGTTACCTCCATTTTTTGTGGTCCTGACAGGAACGGCTATGTTCCCCCGCCCATTGCTGTGTGGTCGGACGTCACATTCTTCAACTCCATTTTGGTGCACCCCAAAATGTATTTGAACCACGTTCCACTCTATGTCAGCAACGCCTGGGACCGCCTCTGGATTTCCATGCAACATCCAGACAGGATATTCTACAAGGTGGACGACAGAAACTTCACTGACTACCATAAACCCCTGCATGGTGTCAGACGAAAGCCTGAGGAACTGGATGAGGCCTATTGTCGAATCCGTGTCATGAAGCCGCAACCAATTACGGTTTGAGTCGTTCAGAAGATTCTCTCTCAGTCTTCATTACCGCCTCCGTGACTCCGCTTTTATGGGCCGATCAGCCGAAAATACTTTTCTGACTTCTGCGCCTTTGTTACCACCTGTTGTTATGCGACGTATTTTATAAGAAAATGAGATTTTATCCGCTTCCCTTATCTTATTGAGACTGCATAATAGTTTTTAGTCTTTATTATTTGCGTATCATGAGGTGTGGGGTCTAAATACGTTTGTAAGGAGTTAAACAATAGGAACCTTTTTATCAATCATGTTAGGGCATTTCCGACAGCATTATTGGAATTATTTGGAGCTTACATCGGCTTTATTCAACACTCAGAAAATAAGTCTGAAACAATCAACCACTACAGGCTCTTTGAACAAGGGAGTGGCATGCGCAATCCAAACCAGACTTGTTAAGTTAATCCCTAAACTGAGTACCTATCAAAGATTATCCTATACTCCAGTAATTTAATGTAATGCTAACTTGGACAGAGGAAAGCTATGAGAATGTGAGTCCAATCACACAGCAACCTTTGACGTTGAAAACCACCATCCAACTTTGCTTCTTGTAGAATTCATGGAGATTCGGGCCTTTCTTATTTATTGTCCACGATAAATAGGTGTAAAAGAGGAATTTTAATCTGAACGTGCCTTCACCTAAGATATTTCCTCCAGACGCACATGAAAGTTCAACCGATAGCTCCATTGTTGTTCTAGTTAATGAGCTGGACCTTTAAAACACGGCGAGGGTTGAA